ATGCGTATAGATGTGTTAGTAAACGCGTATCTCTCAATTGTACCTCTGTATCTTTTAACTCTGTTACATGTGTGTTTGGTTTACCTTCCGGCAATTTAGCAATTAGTTTAGCGATATAGTGCCCTGTCTATTAGTCTATTAAAAAATACCTAGCTTGTTAAAAAAAAGATGAAAATTCAATCAAGTTGTTCACAAACGGGAAATCCATCGATCCATTAGTTCGTATCCACGGTTGCAGTTACTTTGCCCGTCGATATTCAAAGTTAGAATTTTCTGGTATCAAAAGCAATTTCTAGATAATTTCGCACATACATGTGTGTGTTTATATTATACATGTGCATCGCTGGCAATTTTACGAAGCAGTTTCTGCTTTAAAGTTAGTAGAGCGTTTATCTTTTTCAAACCTCTGACACTAAATCGACACACATATTTAGTTACGATCGCGTTAATTCGCCCAAGATCAGTCGCAGGCGATGCAATTAAAAAATTACAAGCAATCCAACATGTTATTGTACTATCACACACACAGATATGGAGATATTAATCTACGAAAATACATTTACAAAAGCGGTAAAAATAAACGTGCTCTTGACACACAGGCGGAAGCTTTATGTTCTCAAATTAATGGTTATGGAGGCATAATTTTCCGATAAATTCGACGTATGGCTTTTACCCGTTGCCGGATATATATATATATATCATTGTATAATAATACTAAGGAAACAAGATCAATATAAGAACCATATCGGCGGGTTGATGTTCATAAAAAGCGGCTTTATTACACGAGACCGTAAAAATGCATCGAACGTTAAGTTAGCACTTTGAGATTTCTTCGCGCCATATGTATATATAATACATACAATATAAACCTCCGCTACTGTTGCTACATTACGTTCGTAAAAGAGCGAAAGCTGCAGAGATGAAATGTATATGATATAGAAAAAAAAAAGGTGATATTTAGATCAATACGCGCGCGCGCAAAATAATTAAATCCGAGGTGAGAGCTGTATATTTCGTTATAATATTTCCGCGTCTTTTGCAGAGGAGACATGCTTTGCGTGTCATGAAAGATATAATATGTTTCATAGTCGCGTGTCAATAGGCGATTTAATTACTTAGACGGCATAAATATTTGAGAACGTCGCACGAGCACGTAAAAAACGCTTTAATCTTTCAAACATCCTTCAAACGTCTTTTACAGGAATATCCAACATTATTTCTTTATTTCCTCAAGAAATAATCGCTTCGACAATTTCGCCTAGATATGTAAGCGTTAGATTGTCAACGATATATCGGAAAGGTTGAATCTTTTAGTTTTGCCCGTTTAGTTTACACATTTTATTAACAAAGCACTATAGAACGGCAGAAAATTAATACCGTTCCTCATTAATTTTCTGTAAGAAATACAGGGGGGAGAGCTAAGTAAACGCACGACAGCAATAAGACGCGGATAATGACGCGTGCTGACTTTCTTATGTGACGCGTTTGAACAGTTTGTACTACCTAGGAAAGTGCAAACTGGCATGATAATGAGTTGCTGACATTACTAATCTTCCTGCATTTTGTTTATGAAACGCGGATTAAACACGAATAGATTGTTCAGATTAGCAAAAGGTATCGTTCGAGTTTCGTAGCTTACGGACACGCTGTCTATAGTTTCTCCTCTTCTGTTCCCCGCTTCCCATGATACTGTTCTATATCGAAAAATTAAAACCCAATTAGGTACTTAAATATTTGTACTGCAACAACTTCCATTTGATCTTCTCCTTTGGTATATTTGTTCCGCGTTTGTTTAGTGACTTATAATTAAGAAGTTACTGTTTAAGAAAAGATTTACGTAAGAAACTTGACAGAAACTTGACAAGAATGATGCATGATTTTCCAAAGATACAAACGCAACTTGGAATTAGCACGCGTTAGTATCTCTCTCACTTTGATAAAAAAAAAAGTCTGACTAAACAAACAAAAGAAAAGCCTTAGCCAAGGTACTACTTCAGTATTCAAACGAAACTAATCGTGTTATAACTTAATATCGAAGTATAAACGCATTTGTTTTTCTTTTATATTATTTCTTTTGTATTTCATTTTTAATGCCGTTAGATCATAAATGCCGTTAAAGGTGAGACAGAAGAAGCAAGTTCAGAAAATCATGAAACTTCGATAAAAGAGACCGCTTCATATATTTTTAACGACATTTCCTTCGAATGTCAGGGGTAGGTTCTTTTCTTATTTACACTTTTCTTCGTTTGTGATGTCACGAAAATCCTACACTGGACTGTCCAGACGGGAAATGAATGGAGAACTCTTTGCCTAACGTAAAACTTTTTCTCTAACTTTCCCTGTTTTCCTTTCACTCGATACGTACAAATATCTTTCTCAAACTTCAGTCATCGTGATCTTTGAGGGAAAAACATCCGACATCGATTGGCTTAACCTTTACTCCCAAATTTTACGCAGAGAAACGCGAGTTAGCTCTTATTTATCGTCTAATAATATATTACGCAAGATATGAAATAGATCATATTTGAAGTTTTTATCATGTATCTAGATGCAAATAAAGCGCTCTCAGTTTGCACAGCTTGATAAGAATCAGCGACGTGCAAAATCCCGTGGAACAAATTAAACTAACAAATACGCAAGATATAACATAAGCCATTAATGCGATTAATATGATTTTATGTTGTCTAGTGTAATTTCTGGATTATTCTGCCGTTTTTGCCACATATTCAGCGCATATGAAGTTTTATTCTATGCCGAAGCGAACCAACAGTGAAATGGCACACGCAAATTAATTTATGCGCATTGAAATATTTTTTATACGTTTATGGCTTATAATCAACGAGTATAGTAATTATTTAAACAGATTATTTGAAACAAATTACTTTTTATTGTGAGGAAATGTTGGTCTTCAATCTACCCGTGAAAGATTTAAGCTTTAGCATATTAACGCGGAATTATTGTATAAACCGCAGAAATTGTGATATTTTTTGTTATTTTTTGATGTTTTTCGGTTTTTCTCTAACTACGCTAGCGATTGCGATTATAACAAAGATATGACTGAACAAAGAGAAGATTGACCGTAATTTGAAAACTTATTTCATCTTAAAGTGGTAGTTTCATCCTTTGAAGTCAATCAGAAGTTTCAAATTTACTTTTGAGTTTACGCGCGCACACAGATGAGTGAAAATTCCTTTGTAGTCTCATTTACCACGAACTTCTCAATCAGAGTTTCCCGATAAAAGAATAAACTGCTATTAAATTGCTGGCATGTTATAGAACAATGTTTTAGAACAAATCATATACATTTCTCAAAGTTTCATAAAAACGCAATGGTTCCGGAATTCTTAATCATATTAATTAATTGTGCATCTTAATGCACAATATGCTCATACATGATATTCAAAAACTGCCATACAGTATTTCAATAGCATATTCTGAAGTTCAATTAGAATCTAAAATTACAGCAGGAAAATATTGAATTACAATCGTTTTTTCCTTATAAGTGATTAAACCTTGCCAACGACATTGTGAAAGTTCTGCTTGCTCAGACTTATAGCCATCCAACTGTGCAAAATTTATGTGATATCGCTGATCAAATACTGCGATCTCGATATTTTCATATTACTATCTACGACTTTTCACTTTAAGCTTCGGAATATGCTATTAGAATATTTTCAATACGAATATTAAATTATCTGAATGTCAACTGCGTTAAACAGCGTTAAACAGAGTTAAACAGTATCGTATTGTTGATTGGTATAATTTCATATTCGTATTCTTTCGTTGTGAATCAATGCGATATACCATTATTACTACGTGATAGAACACTCTGTAAGTGTTAAAATTCAACACTCACTATTGATTAAATCCACCGGCGTCCAGCGTGATCCTCCCAGTCAGATCCTTCAATGTCCAAGTTCATGGATGAGATCTACCGTTGCATCCCGATTCGCCTCGCTCTGCATCGGAAATTCCATAACGTCCCGCGTAGTCCCGAACGTTGATTGCACTTCACTTTATTATGCTTCATACGCGACGCGATTAATATTCACATTATAACGTTTACTGAATATTTCGACGATGTTAAAGCAAACTATCTCAAAGCGCGATCTGTGAATTTGATCAGCGAAAATTCGAAAGATTGCATGCTAAAAATGCAGAATCGTTCAAAACGAATATGTATCGCGGCTCAATAAATTCCGGCACGGTAAAAATATACTGAGAAATCGCGAATCGCATGTAAAAAGTGGCGAACTAAAAAGCGATTTTAACAAAATCAAATGCATAAAAAATATATATATAAAATCGAACGTACGTATTACTTCTACTTTCCGAAAAATGAATTTCTCGTTTCACGAATTTGTTACATGCTGTTATTTTAATATATTCGTATTGTGAATCGCGATTTGCGCATAAAAAGTTGCGAAATAAAGAGCGATATGAGCGAAAAATCAACAGGACGAAAGATATAATTCCACTTCAATTTTCCGAGAAATAAGTTTCCCGTTTCATGAATTTTATTTTAATATTATTGTAATTTACTCGTACCACGAATCCCGCATAAAAAATTAATAATGAAGGCGGTATATCAAAGTCCGCCAGTGAAGTATTCGTAAGTTTCGCATATGGTGGCGCAGTATGTGATGCGCATTATACACTGTTCAAAATAATGTAAGTAGGGAATTGCACGCAATGAAAATTTCTGTTAATAAATTTTGTAGCTCTTGAACCAAACGTGAAAGTAAATAACTAAAAGGTAACATTAAAGTAAAAATATATATGCTTACTGAAGTTCAAATTAAATTAAATCGAAATTAGTTATTTGAAAGAGAAATAATTACAAGTAAAATAAAATTCCAAATGGATATAAAGTATCGTAAACAATTGAGAAAACAATCTCCTATTATATTTTGAACAGTGTGTGTTATTCGACGGCACATACATGTATATGTAAAAATCTACGTGATAAATCGCATTGATACGAACGAGTTTCATAAACACCCACCATCATAAATCGCTGTTCCCGTTACCTTAGAAATTTGATATCCATTTTTCTCACTCACCGAAATACCGCAGGGGTCGGCCACATTCAGCTTACATTTCTGAAACAAAATAACACAGTTCCATTGATTAGATTTAACAGCTCAATTTAATGAAGGCAATATAGGTTAGCTCTTTGCGATCGTAAGTGAAGGATTTTTGTTTCAACTATATCTTACACCCGTATTCATAGTTAGGCCTTATATTTAAGGCTTCCTTAAGTTTATCTTCAGATGGTCTGGTAGCCAATAAAATAATCCGTGCAGCATTTAAAGATGGATATAAGGAGGCTTCAAATATAAGACCTGTCTATGAGTACGGGTATTAGTTTTCCGATCACAAAGGGACAAATGGAGGAATACGACAGATCTGGAAACTTACTTTCGAGCCGACCCCACTCGGCCCGAACCGGATCCTCCGGTTCACCATCCGCATCTACGGAAACTATCTTCACAGTCCGCTTCATCCGACCTGAAACAAAAAATAATTCTGATTAGTTGCAGTAATAAAGAGCTTATTAGATAAGAGCATATATATATACATATATATATATTGCATTATATTTAGCTATATAGTAGTCACGTTTTCTAAATTCCGATAAACTTTTATTGCTCACGACAATCTCGGTACGAAAACTGCGCTGGCGAAATCTTGTAGATACTTTCGCATACGTTTGAGTCAATTTAAAACAGTCGGAAATAGTATCAACTTCCAATGTATTTACCTTCACCTCTAAGACTGTTATCACTCCGAATATAATGTCTATTTACATTTATGTCGTTCCGGAGGTCACAACAACCTTCAAAAGGATAACGCATGTACGTGAAAGCACAGTTACATGTTTTCTTTCATAATTTGAGAGAATATAATGTCAATATTTCTTGTTATGTTGTAATATTTAATTATTTAATACGTGTTCTCTCCGATATTTATAATATTTGTCGCGTATTTGTTATGCAGCTGCCGACTATATAAAACTTAAGATTACATATTGAAAGAACAAAGCGAGTTACTAAGTTAGAAAAAAGTTTAACTTGTCATTTTGCTTTTACGACAATGGTACAAATATTGCGAGAACATTGACAAAGAATTATATACAATGACAATTATTTGCTTAACAAATAATTTGTTTCCGGTTAATTAATCACAGTAATAGAGGACGTTTATTTTCACTTTAAATCAATTGAAAACGTGTGAAACTGTATTTCATTTAAATTTAATACATATGAAATCTGTTGTTTACTATTTCCATTTAATGACTCCTCCACTGATTAGGCATGATCCGAACATATTGATCGCGGCGCACGATGTTAGTTACATTAGCCTTAATTAATTAAAGCTAAAGCTAAAGCTAAAGCTAAAACTAATTAATTGATGATAAATGAGTTATTTAATATCATCAGATAAAAACAAATTTCGGCGCCACGCCATTGATCGACTTTCCTCGTTAATAACTTTGTTATTAATAGTCGAGGAAAAATGCAAGAGGAACTTTCGATTCAGAATTTCATTCTCTTCACATTCCCAAAAGATAATCGCGCATTTTGAAACACTCTGTATACGTTAAATGCGTGGTACATTAAAAGCCACACAATTACCGAGGTAACACAACGCACGTCAATTTGTGACGCACTTGCGTAGAGATAGATTGACAATATTGCATAAAGTTTCCTAAATTGACGTTTAACTTATATAAAATTAACTCAAGAAAACGTAAATCACTTTTCCACAATAAACGTAAGAATAATCATGGAATAAAAATATAACTTTGCTGATTTAAAAACGCAATTTAACGAGGAACAGATCAAATTGCTCTTTCTGGTCATAGGTGAACCATTTTTATTTCGACAATTATATTTTTCGTCCAATTGCAAAGGATCAAGTTGTCTATTATAAAAAGTCTATAAGTTTACCTTCGAGATAACTACATTCAGCCCGAACCGGATCCTCCGGTACCGCATCCGCATTTACCGAAATTATCTTTGTAGTATGGTCACAACTTTCGTTAGAAACCTGAAACAAAAAAATTTTTGTTGATTAGTTATAAATCGATTGACCGCTTTGTTACAATAAATCAAGAGAATAAAAGTATTAGGAGCAATCGAGAATACGAGTTGCAACCCTTTATGTTCCGTATATCATACTCTTTTAAACACAACAAAACTTAATTATGTGCGCTAATTACCGTTTTTAAATTTCGAGACGTTCCTACGTTCCGTTCACAACTATCTCGGCACGTCTACTCGCGAAAGATCGTAAATATTTTTACATGCGTTTCAATTAATTTAGAAAAGCAATCGAAAATAGCGCGTAAGAGCTCCCGACATGTTGATTTTTTAACGTCCTGCTAAAGACTGTTATGATTTCAAGTATGGCGCTCGCTTATATAAGCTTATATACGAAAAGTTTCGAAACTCCTTAATATCTCGGAAAATATGCATTTTAGAAAAAAATGTTTTATATAAAGTTAGTAGAGTTTTATAAGGCGTACTACATGGCAATTATTATGACCTTGAATAGCGTTATCAAGGTCACGTGAAAGTTATCTTAAATTTCTTAAATAGAACTCCCTATTTTTCATTACATATTCTTATAGCTTATCCCGAGGGTTTTCCAAAGTACCATAATTAAATTTTTTTCGTTAGGTATTTTTCAAGTTACAAGATTTAAAAGTTGCAGTACCGCGGGCATTAGCATTACCCAAGGTATACCGCGTGGAAGTTGTATGATCGGATTTACACCTCTTTTGTGTGTGCGTGCGTGTGCGTGTGCGTATGCGTGTGCGTGTGCGTGTGCGTGTGTGTGTGAGGTGCACCGTCGATTTTACTATTCTTATTTTTGTGTGCGAAAACCCTATTTCCAATTTTAACATTAGACTGGCACATTGTCAGACTGTTAATGGCCAGCAATTTGAACATTAATTATGAATGCAAACGCTCAGAAACATGTAGCGGTATTTACGCACACTTAAATAAAAATATGTATTGTAAGAGTAACGTATAGGATGTATAAATAACGTATAGGTTATATAAATGGAGGGAGTCCCTACAGACATGACCTTCCTCCTTTTGTTTATTTGCCTTATGCATACACACTAAGAACCGAATGAATAGACGAGCCGTTCGAGGTAGTAAACACAAAAAGAACAATAGATAGCATAACGATAATATAATTCAGACGCCCGTCGGTGAAAGTCGAGCGGGATACGGAGACGCACCGAGTGCTAGAACACCTTCGAGTCAGGCTTTCGCGCAATTATCTCACGCGATAATTAATTAAAAATGGCTGTCCGAATGGGTATACATACGTTCGAACCGCTAGCGGGCAGTCGGTAGGAAAGCGCACGAGAAAATCACCAACATATCCCAGCCTAAAGACCACCATCTAGCACCAAGAATGGACATCGCGAGAAAGTGCACGAGATGTCCCTCTCAGCTGCTGGTTCAGATCATTTAGGTTATACCGCCCCCTCCCCGCCCCTCGGGAAAACGCACAGCGAGCCCGATCTGATAACCAAGAAAACATCTGAATCGATGCCGAAGGAGAAACGCACGACGATATCGGTATTCGGAATTAAGAGAAATCAACTAATTATATAAAGGAACAACAATGCTCGATCCCGGTCACACGATGAACATTAGAAAACAATGGTTTAATTAACACTCACCAACTTTCTGCGCGAGTGGCGATGACACGTCTACTTCGGGCGTCCAACAGCGACTAACTGTCTACCTCACTCGCGACATCGTTTTTATAATCCGCGTGTCTATCTTCCAAACATAAACACATCGCTTTCTCCACCATTGACCTTACTGTGATCGTTATTGTTTTTCAACGCTCCGAATGCCCATTTCGGATTTTCATATGCAATATTCACACCTCGTACGATATAAATGGTTAGATTAGGTTAGATTAGGTTAGGTTAGGTTAGGTTAGGTATTAGAAGTAATAAATTCAATATTTTTATTACAATTGTGTGCTTTTCTTCAAAGGTATATACCAGGTAACAACAGATCGACGGCATTCTGTAGAAAAGGAAACAGAAGAAGGGGCGAACAAGCAAAGAAAACAAAAAAGAAAAGAATATTTGTCTCATAGTATGCATGTATATACGCACGAGGGCACACGTCGCGCGCCCGCACACACATGCACGCGCGCGCACACGCACACACATACACACACACACACACAAAAGAAGTGTAAATTCGGCCATACAACCTCCACGCGACACACCTTGGGTAATGTCTTGCAACTCGAAAAATACCTAACGAAAAAACATTTAATTATAGTGTTTTGGAAAGCCCTCGAGATAAGCTACAAGAATATATAATGAAAAATAGGGAGTCCATTTCAGAAATTTAAGATGAGTCCTTCACGTGATCTTGACAACGCTATTCAAGGTTATAATATTGCCATGTAATACGCCTTATAAAAGCCTTATACGCCTACTAACTTTGTATGAAATATTTTTTTCTAAAATGCATATTTTCCGAGATATTAAGGAATTTCGAAACTTTTCGTACATCCTATATATGTTGTCAGTCCGTAGATCATTAGTCCATAGTTTGACCTTCGGAGAAACAATAACATACATTAATAAGCTAAAGCATCATTGCGTGATTTATTCTACTATTTATAATAATATATTCTACAATTTATAAAAATTTATAATAATTCTACATTATATTTTTTTTTCGTTATATCGTATATCTAATGCGCCATTCAATAACGTTTACTGTGTTTCAGAATGTTACTGTTACTGAATACTTGTTAAAATCTTAATAAGTACAAAGAACACGAGAAGAGTTACAGGAGAACTCTCTCTCTCTTTCTCTCTCCCTCTCTTAACAAGTGGAAAATATGGGAATTTCGATTGTATCTTTTATTAAGTTTACATTATACTTATATCTTTTATTTAAATTTAACAAATATAAAGTGCTATTCATATTCTCAAATTAATGATGCTCTTACTCATCACAATGATCTCTATATGTTAACCGCGATGTACGAATTTAATATTGGTTGTGATATTACCTTTAATTAATTTGATAAATCTAAATGACGGACGACATCTGTATGTGTTCGCACGGTCGTGTCGAGGATTGTTATGATGTTACGTATCGAGAACATGTACAGTGTATCGAGAAAACCGTGCGATCTTCGGAATAACAAACCATACATGGGTTTGCGTATGACGCGTTAGCGCAGAGAGCGGAAATGTTATGACATTTCGTGTAATGACATGTAATTTTTATCAAAAAAATAGTACAATTAAATATTATAATTATTTCAATTTTATACAAAAATTTCTTTGACCGGAAAACATGTGCAAACATTTCTCTCGAATATTTTAGCTAATTGTTACATCACAGAAAAGCTGATATATAGAGAATGTGTAATTTTTTTCGCATAATAAGCTATTTTCCGTAAATCCGAAATAAAACAACAAAGCGCTTTCAATACATTCTGTGAGCTCCGAATTCACAATTATAATAATTTTGAATTATTTATTTCTCTCCCCGAGGGGTATCCATTTCATCCGCAGAAATCTAAACGAGCGTTTACAAAGGACTTGGCTTGGTTTCCGTAAAAAGAAACTTTTAATTAAAGTTTTTTTCATATATTTTATGGTGTCGGCGTCATATGGTCACGATCGCGTACGCCCTTATAGTCTCCAATAACTGTTCCAACCCCTAAACCTGCAATAAAGCACGTATAAAAAATGCGCGTCCCTTATCTCGAGCCATTCTGCAACGTACTCCATAAAAATCAAAGAGAAAATGGCGAATATCTCGCCGTGAGACTTTGTTTTTTTTTTCGGCCATATTGCTCAGCAGTGCGACATGTCCGACGTTGATGTCTTATTTGAGAAGTAAGAACCCTCCGGTCGAATAACCTGTGGTCGGTCGGACATGTGCCGAAGAGGCCGAAGAGAGGCCGTGAAAGCTCTTACAGATTACTCGCGACACGAAAAGGTGACCGATGAGCGACCAGGAGGATGCGCTTAAAAGGTAGCTGAAGGATAACGGCCGGCGGAGAGCGGGTGCTTTTGTAATTTTACGGTGATCCCACGAGAGGTGGCCGCCGGAGGAGGTTTATGTTGCTTCTCTCGAGGGAGGTACTCGCGGCCGATGGCTTATATACGCCTGACCTGTGCCATCTGGCGAATACGTTAACGCGTTCTTCCTCGCCGCTCGAGGGAGATATTATGGAAAAAATTGGCTCCAACGGAGCTGTCTCTCCTTGCCGGCGCGCTCGTCCACGTGGTTTCGCGTTCTTCTACCGCCGCGACGTGCGCGAAACGCATTTCGCTCCTAATTAAACCGTTCATTATACGCGCGCCAATTAATCAGGCGTAGGTTTTAACGGCGATACACAACCCTCGCGCCTGACTTAATTATGTCAAGACATATCCGCAATGGAACGAGGGGAGTGCGCGTATAGATCTTCGCAGGAGAGTTTCCTGAGAGTCGTGTTGAATAATTCCCTCGCGTTTCTTTAGCGGACGGATGTAACATTTCTGCCGCGAGAAGAACAAGGTTGATCATTTGATGATACTGACACGTCGAGAGGAACTTTTACATTTATTTCATTCAAGCTGTTATAATTATACGTATGATCGTGCGCGTATGAGAGAATAGAAAAGAAGAGAGACGAGTAATGGTATGTTCTGGCGACAGTCGCGCGGGAGTTTGATAAATTAGAGGGGACATGTGATATTTTTGTGACGAGAGAACGCACAAATCAGATGCCAAAATATTTCCATGAATATTTTCTCCTTGTTAAAGTGCGCAAGTGTCAACGTCAATTCTGCGCGTTAAACGCCAAAGTTCCGTGTTGCGTTGATATTCATGGAAAATCGCACAATTTTTTGGCTCCAGAATTAAAAAAAAAAGAAACTATATCTTTACTGCAGATGTACACGCTTTCTCCTGGACACACGGTATAATCTACGAACCTTCAAATATCGGCCCGTACATTCACGATGGAAATCTCATTATTTACTTTACGTTGAAAAAATAACAAAATGAAGTCACGGCAGAAAACGAAAGAGCTTTCGCGGCGAGCGAGACGACATTTCCAGGAAGAACTACGTCATCGTGTAAAACGCGTTAAGATTTATGTTCGTTTATGCAGCAAAGTAAAACTCTTGCGTGCTTAATTACGTGCACTTGTTGCACTTTGTGGCTGATCGCGGCGGAACTTATTGCCGAGGGCAAGACGCAGTGGAAGTTTTTAATTACTTCAGCTCACAGACGGATTTAACGGCTTTTATATGCATGACTCCGCTTTATGTTCTAATTAGACGTGAATACAAACGACTTTGTGCAGATAAATATCGTTATCTATGATGGAAATGCAATCGATAAGAGAGCAAACACAGAGAAAGCTGGTAAGCGGCTTGCAAAAGCTATTTGAGATAACAAGAAACCGGAATGAGAATATGATCCGATTATGAATACGCGTGCGCCGTTTACGTGTAATATTCCTATCATGCTTGTCACGTAATTTAAATGTTTTTTTGTAAACTCCTCCTTGGAATTCCGTTTACGCTCGTCGCGCTTGCATCGCCTCGGCAACGCGAGAGATTGCTGTCCCTCACAATATCGACTAATTTGATAAATTTGCGTGAAATTTATGAAAGTATGCAAGTTTATAAAATAACAGATGTTGAAGCAGGTATCCGGGATCGTGTCCCTTATTGGGCGAGCGATTAAAGAATCACACAAGGGAAGAAAAGACGTTTCAATCTTCCTCTTGGAATGCTTTCCTTTCTTGGAATACTTTCAGGAATATTAAACGGCTCTTAAGGACAGCCATTAAGAATATTTATCGTTGCAAGAAAGGGACGCTGGAATCGTCCGTATATCGTAGCGTGTTTGGGGCGAACTTACATCAGGGTGGCGCGGTCCTGTAGTTACCGTTTCAATAAAAAATGTAAGAGATTCATGATGGAGAGAGCGGCAGCGCTCACGCGAATATCCGAAAGGTATGAATTATTCCCGCGCATAATACCGTGGATGAATCGTCGCGTTATCCTCTCGTATACTTCTCCATCGGTCTCGTTGACTTTCCCGCCGTCGGGAATAAGACGGACTCGTCGGTGCCGACCCGTCATCTCGCAAGAAACGAAACGTCCGGTGTGTCATATATTCTTTTCCTCTCTCTTCTTTGTGTGCGCGGCGACATAGATTTCGCTCGCTGCGGCAAATAATTCGTAATCGCGACGACTCGTCCGACCTCGTCCGACCTGCGCGCGTATATATCTTCCGGGAAAAGCGGTCGATATTTTTCAGCTTTATTGCGCCGACTGTAGTCGGAATAATCGCGGCTTCCACGAAGAACTGTCGCGCTCGCAAATCCCCGTGTGTCGCTGGCAGAGAGGCTTCATTATATTATATCAAAGTTACTGCAAGTGCACGAGCTATCGGCGTTTTACAGGCGTCGCACTGCGTCAGCGTGTGTAAAGATGACACGAGCACCGGGGGTGATTATCCAGTAAATCCCACCACAATTTTAAACGGTATTACGCATCGGAGCTTAGGCAATCCGGCAGTGCTAGCCGGTGGAATGGCACCGCGCTGATTATGCCCGCGGATCAGAGATTACGAGGCTTTATCCGCCGCTAATATCCGCGGAAAAAATACAGTTTGCATTTTGCGAAACGCTTTTCGCCGGCGGTTTAAAGGCACGTCCGCCGCGGTGATCGCCCACGCAGAGAAATCGACACCTAATATTTGTGTTCCTTGATGTTTTTAACGCGATTATTTCGCTTGTCAAGATCGTGCCGGATAACCTACTACTAATTCGAGCTTTCTTTATATCTATCTGTACACGCGCAGACGTATGGCCACCAAATGGCTC